GGAATGCCAGGCTTGTTCAGAGCCTCACTCAGTTGTGTAATTTCTTTACCACTGGTTTTCCTTTCTTTAAGATACACATCCACTCTGGGATTTTCAATCTTCTATTAAATGTTCTCTGACAAAACAAAAAGCTACTTTAGAAATAACTGATTGAGTGCTCGTATTAGAACTTTAGTTAGTATGTGAATCTTCATGTGTGCTGTCAGCCTCTTTGACAGTTTCAGACTGCCTCCCCATGCACCACGAAACACAAGCATGCTGAGTAGGATGTGTAGGATGCCATGTACCTAGAGTTTCCTTCTTGGCCTGGATAAGACTCAGACTGTAGAGATTCGAAGAAGAAGAAAAATGGAGGCAGATGTAAATTTTGACTTGAAGGCAAGAGTTATCAATAAACCCTGTCATATTGAGGATACTTTTCATTGCCTCTTTCCCAAGATATAAGAAAGTATGGGGGCTGGGGGTGGAGGGGAATGCCTCTACTCATCCTTTTAAGTTTCATAGGAACTTCCTTCATAATTCCTAGCTAAATCCAAGATTATACTCCAAACTGCAAAATGGTCCTCATATTTTAAAAATTAATACGGTTTAGACATGGAAGTACAGTAGCTTAACTCTTGCTTCTAGCATTACAGGCATTAGATGTATTGACAGGATTTCTATTCTTTGTATGATTTTCTGTAACACTAGACAAAGTTTAAAAAGAATTATATAGAGCACTTGTTTGAAGTTACCTGCTTGTCATCTGACATGAAGTCATCTGCTTCCAAAGTTCTACTATTATAAAGCCTTCCAGAGAGCAGCACATCAAACTTACAGTATCGATTCAATTCACAAGCCTGACAAGATATATTTTTTGTATTTTTCAAGATTATGCGAACATCTGGGTAACAATCCACACGCTCCTGAAAAACAGATTTCAAATAACATTAAAGAATATCTGTAAACTTAAAGATGTCTCAAATATACTACTGAGTACTCTGTACTCACACAAAATTAGTGCAAGAGAAACCAAAGAGATTAAAATCTGAAGTCTTTCAACAGTTAGTTGTGAACATACACCTTCACAATAATTTTCCAACACTACACTCAGTTCCAGTTGATTCTTTCTTATGGCTTCAGACCTAAAGAATGGCTCCTGCATCGTGGCCCTTATTCTTCTCTCATCTATTTTTTTTTTTTTTTTGGAGGGTGTGGGGGTGCAACTATATCAGTTCACAGAATCACAGAATCATCTATTGGAAAAGACCTGTAAGATCACCAAGTCCAACCGTAAACCCGACACCGCCAAGTTCACCAGTAAACCATGTCCCTAAGCACCACATCTACACATCTTTTAAATACCTGCAGGGATGGTGACTCAAGCACTTCCCTGGGTAAACATACAGCATATTGCATGGAAAAACAAGCATCTGACAAAAACACCCCCCCTCTCCCTCCACGAAATTAGTGTGTCATTAGTTCTAAGAAGGATGTGGAAAGAAAAGGGAAAGAAACCCCAAAACATGTAGAAATATGTGAGAACTCTTGAATCCCACGGCTACTTCAGGCCTGATTCTCCAAAATGCCGAGTACTTGTCAAAGACAGCATTTGGGTAACCAAGATGTCATTCTGCATTCTTATCAGAACATTCAGAGTTTTGTATTCTTAGGTTATAAGCATCCTAGGAATAAATACACTGTATCTCTCCACTGCCCATACTCCATTATTACAGTGATTATTAGATCACCACACCTATCACACTAATACTATTCTAGTAATTCACATACAATGACTGTATATTGACTTCATTTTTTTTAAGTAGTAGAAGGTTTACTACGAAGATACTATTTTATCCTTTTGTAGGAGGAAGAAAAAATTTTGTTACAACATTTAGCAAGTGACAAAAAGTTTTCACAAAGTCATCTGCTGAAGTTAGCAGGAAAAGCATTCAGTTCTGTTACCTGAATGTTTATCTGGTTATAAACACATAAAATACTTCTGATATTTATAAATATCAAACCAAGTTACAGAAAGAACAATGAGTTTCTATTTAAAAAGTACATATAATTATAGTGGTTATTGTAACTCTACTGAGAACTACAGTATTAAAAAAAAATCTGTCAGTAATAATATGATTTAGAGCCCACTTTACTACTTAGAGTAGAAGCTATATACCTTGTATCGATCTTTCCAGCGACTTCTAGAGACTAAGTTCTCGAGACGAGGCTGAATGAAACGGTCATCCAAATAATGAAGTGAGAGCAACATGTCTTGCGCATATTTCTTTTGTCTTGTTCCATCTGTTCAGTGAGAGTCATTACTCATTTGCTGACCACCTTACATTGTACAAGTTTTTTCAAATAAAATTTTCAAGGAGATTATGCTTTTGCATACTAAGAACTATGAATGAACTTAATAAATTATTACTGAATACATTTGCTACTGTTATCCATAAAAGTGATCCGGGCATCTTTGATAAACTGATATATTTAATTATTTTAAAAGTCTGTATCACAAGAAGTACATGAATAAACTCTACAATCCATGTTAAAGTGAAAAGCTGTCATCCCAAACGGAGACCATTCACTCGATCCCATTTCAAAGAAGGGAAAAGGGGGTGGGTTTCTTGCTTTTTGTCCAGTTTACATGAGCTGTTCATAATGTATAAGGGAGGAGGTGGCAATCCATAAAAACAAACTGCTCTGAGCTGCTTCACAGCAGAAATTTTGACAACTCTCTTTGTCACTTACAAAGAAGATAAAGAAACTGACTTTTACACTTCAGCAGCACAGTCAGATGCCTTGGGTTAGGCAGCATAAGTACTTCCAAATAATTACTCAAGCAAAATAAATAAACAAGTATGAGGATGAGTAAAACTACCACTATTCCACAACAGTCTCACAAATATGTGCTGGACTCAAGGAATTAAAGAGGACTTTCATAGGTGCAGGCCAATTCATACTGTCTCAAGCTTCAGCATGTACAGACACAGAAACTAATTCAGCTGCCTTCTCTAGTCTTTTAGCAATGCTGTTATCAAAGAAGCAGAACCAAGAAGGGCCACTGGCTACCTAGCTCTCTATATAAACATAGTTAATTGTCATAATTATAGCCACCATAATTACAATTAATTGTTTTTTCCATATACACTTCACACACATTTTCAGTAAGTTAGCTATACTAAAAGCTTGAGGAGGCTGTGCTAGACCATAAAAAAATCCCTCACAATAAAAAGCAAGTCTGAGCTTTAATACCAAAGTAGCTGCTCTTGATTCAAACTTGTTAATAGATTTACTTTCATTAACTCAGAAAAATCCATTCTATGCCATAAAAATATATCTTTGTAATGCTAGGCTATGTTCATACTATACAACATTACTCACAAAGACAGAATACAGCCTCCAACTCACCCGCATAGCCCAGCTACTTCCAGCACCTTAGGAGTAAGTTCTTATGTTTTGTAGATCAGACACAATTTGAAACAGAAAGAAGCTATTGCAACATAGATCTGGCAAAGTTTACTTGTTACTTTTCATAAGCTCGTTTTCCCTTGGTAAAACAAAACAAAAGTAACACCTGAAAGAACTAGCAGTTGTAGATGAAAGACACAGCTCCAAGAACACACAGCCTTTATTCTGAAGTTTGCCGTGCACTTCAGTTTCTCCATTCCCTCTCAGCTCCTGATGTCACCAAAACTTCCTCTCTCTAGCACTTTCCTGACTCCTTCCACACCCTGACACTGCCAGACCTCTCACTAATCTCATCTTCACAGTGCTTCTGAAACTACATGTGAGGTTGCCATTCCACCCCACGAGGCCAAATGCCAAAAAGCACTTCCTCAGCAAGAATGAGACAATGACTGCAGCTGAAATGTATTCATTTTATCTGAAAACACAAATGTTTAAAAAAAAAAGTAAAAAAATCAGATATGGAGTAATCTCCACAATTAAAATTATTTATTATCTATGAAATTCCCCAGAAAAAGTTATGAAGCATGCAACATTTTGACAAAACAGCTGATCTTGCAATGTTTCCAATGAGATATCTACTTTGATATTAATTTTGCTTTCATGCTGGAACTGTTACTACTGATCAGTAATGCAGAAACACTTCCCTACATTTCAGAATGCCTTGTAGGCTTAAAAGAATTAAGTCTGCACATTTTTGCAAGATTACTCTATCCTTTTCAGATAGACTCCGCCCCCCTCCCCCCCCCAAAGTTACAGAGCTGCAAAACCAAGAACAGATCTCAGGACTCACAGTCCTATGCTCTAAACAGGAGACACACCTTTCCCTAGAATAAATGTCTTTGGGCAACTTTGAATGCACTATTATTTAATGCAATTTACTTACCATATAATGAGCTCAGAAAAGTGTCATCAATTGCATTTATGAGGAAAGCCTTTACTATTCTTTTGAAGTGTACATAATGATCACAGCGAGATACTGGGAAGAAAGCAATAGAATCAGAATTAACATAAAAAACCCCCCCCCCAAAAAAAAAAAAAAAAAAACAACCAACAAAAGTAAGCAATGTTAAAAGTACTGCAAGAATACATTTTTCCATTATTGTAAATTCAGAATTTAAAGTTACTTAAATATGTATTTAAAAATAATTTCAATGTACAACACCCTTAAGACCTTGCCTTTAAATAGTGCTTCTCATCCCAATGATCTTAATTAATTAAGGCATCCTAAAGTCACATGTCCTTTCAGAAAAAAGAACCCACAATAAGGGCTGCAAACACTAAAAGAAGAGAATAATTTGTTCTATGAACAGCAGGAAATAATGCAAAACAGAGAAGGCTAGGCTTATGGGGTTTTTTTGCTTGTTTATTTTTTCTTTCTTCTAATGTTCTTTCAGATACACCCAATTTTGCTCAAATCTTTACTAGGGAAGAAATACCACAAATGCTTGTGACCATCCACACTAGAACTGAGTGCCTGGTCAGTACACACCTGCTTCTGAACAACAAAATATACAAGAAGAGAACTAGCATAAAGCTCTGTTTCAAATCTCTCTGCTCCATCCAGATACTAGCTTTCATAAAAGAACAACTTGAAAAGTTTTCTTGCTCTGTGCAGTTTGGCTGAAACTGACCAAAGAATTCAGAAACCCCTACAAACTTGTGCTCCCAAGTCTCACCACCATGGAAAAAAATTTCAGTTAAAAAAGAAAATCCCAAACCACACAACCCCTAAACGCATGTCAAGAACTTTACATCACTCTCCAGAAAATAATTTGGCCAAAATTAACACAGTTGCTCTTAGCAAGATAGAGGATGATGCTTTTAGGTCTCCACAGGAATGACTGCATCACACGACGCCTACTTCATCCTAACTCAGACCAACTTAAAAAATCTGTGCAATAGGGTTTCTCTTCCTTCCCCCCCAAATTATACCCTCCTTTTAATAAGATACAGGAAGACTGTAACAATTTACTGTGGAAAATCCAAGTACTTCCACAAAAATTGAAGCCTTTTAGGAATCTGCTTTTAAACTATCATATCCTACTGCACAGTATTTGTATTTACAGTCCATTAATATTTATTACAGCACTACAAACAAGTTATGCACACAGAATTGTCACTAATTGTGATCTTACAGTGTGGGACGTAGTATGCCAGCAACTCGCTATTTGATGTATTTAGTTCCTTCTGTTGCGGCTGGTTTTCACTCTTTACATGCTTGGTATTGTCATCATCATCTTCCTCCTCCTCGACTATAAAATCTTTCATACTGTCACTGTCAGTTTCATTACTTTCTGTTGGTGTGAGGGGCAAGTGACAGAGTGGTTCCTCTTCTGTTTCTGTTTCACCATTAGAATCCTAATTAATTTTTAAAAGTATTTAAAAGAGAAGAATTTTCAATATTTGCACTGATGAAATAATACATATACTGGATAAGATTTTTTACCTTCTAATAACACCATTTGTTTAATTAACAAGAAATAATATGTTTCCAAAAAAATTACATCATTCTGTACTAGATGACAATTACTTTCAGCTTTAAATAAGCCATCTTCATGTACCTCTCTTCAGTCTATTTGGAGGAATTAAGCTAACATGAGAATTCTAAGCTACTTCAGCAGGTATTTTGATAAAAATAATTTGATAGTCCTCTCATGTCTCTCTACAGAAAAAAAAGAATGATAAACAAGTTTTTCCCTTCTGACTACACAGAGAAGATAGATATCTGTATTCTAAGCTGCTTAGTCATCAGAATGCCTGAAAGAGGAAATGAAAGGAAATTCTTAAATCCTCAGTGATTAAAACTAAACTCAAGATAATGGTTTTCAGCAGTCAATATTGTGATCCAGTTAATGTAACAACTGTTAAAACGTGACAGAACTACTGATTTGTCTTTAATAAAAACCAAACCAAAATAAATAAAATCCCACTGATTTATTAGTCTTTGCCTTCCCCTACATTCAGTATTTTCTACAACTGAATTTCAAAGATAAAATCCAGACCTCACTATTTTCACTGCTGCAGGATCTCTGAGTTGCTCTGTTTCTTGCCAGTTCTTTCAGTTTTGCAAACACTTTCTGTTTTCTGTTAGTAGAAACATCTTCTGTATGGCAGGTTTTATCAGATTGCTGTTCTTCGGAACTCTCATCTTCATCCATTATACACCGGCGTTTAGCCAAAACTTTTCTAACAGGTATATCACTATCCTCACTTTCATCGCTGTCATACATGACAGAAACGTTCGACCTTTTACGCTTCCCAGGGGTGATCCACTCATCCTCACCATCTTCTGTTATTTCTCTGTCATGGCTTTTCTCTTCCTGATCTGAAAGGCTGTTCTTCACAATAGTTTCATCTTTTTCATCTACTTCATCTTCTGATGCAGTAGACTCTTCCTCCTCAGAGATACATGAGGATTCATCATTGCTGTCAATCAGTATGAGCTCCCTTTTAGTGCGTCTCCAATCAACTCGGGATTTGGATGACAGTTCTGTTCCTTCTGTCTTATTTCTTGTTTCATATCTTCTGACAACTGCTTTTATCTCCATTGGAAGGCTGTGACAACACACCAAAATACAAACTGGTAAAACAAAGCACTCATTACATTATGCCATTCAAAAAAAAAAAAAAGTACCAGGGCATGCATATTTTATCACATACTCTTATGACTTAATTATTAAGAGACACACAGGGAAATCGGCACCAAACAAAACTAAGAATGTACAATAACTTCTGAAGAGGATATACCTTATTGAAAAACTGTAGAAGAGCAGACCTGCCCACACCCATCATAAATAAACTGCAAAAATCAGCTCTGAAGTGCAGCTGCAGATCCCATCCCCCCCTCCAACCCTGGAAGCCTACAGCTACCCTGCTCCTGAGGAGCAGCCTACGCCGCTC